TCTTTGGGATCCCGCCCCTACCCCGGGGTCTTACTCTCTCCTGTCTCACTCTCATTGCCTCATGCCTTCTTGCCTCTCCTCTCTGGAAGTCTTCCTTGATGCTCTTCTGCCCAGCCTCAGTCTCCACGTGTTGTCTTCACATAAATACTAGATGTGCAGTGCTAGCCCTGTCTTAGTGCTTTGTGTACTGTCTTAGGATGTATGTCTGCTTCCCTTATGAGAACAGGTGCTTTTTAAAACACGAGATAATTTGCTCGCTAATAAAAGATAATCATATTTTAGAATATTTTTCCATTGTGTATTTTATTTATCAGACTTATTTGTAGATTTGCTTCATATGAAAGTGTGGAGGGTGTGCACAGCCTCATTATCAGCATGTCAGTTCCAGTTCAGCTTGCTCCTTCTCTATCCCTGGTTCCCAGCCTAGAAGAGACTTCTAGCAAATGTTTGTTGACTAAGTATTACCCTTCAAGCCCATGTCAGAACTGGGCTCCGTTTCTTGATTTCCCATCCTTCTCTCCCTTCCACCTCCTCTCTTGCTGGATATGGTCTCTCCTGTGGCTCTACTTTTATATCATATTCTGCCTTGGATTATGTTTTTGGAGTAGCCATCTCTGTACTGAAGGGGTATTTGGGCAAGCAGTTGTTGAAATCTCTTTAATCTCCACAGCAGTCAGTAGTTACTTGCATACATTAGGCATTTATATCTACTCAACTGAGTGTGTTTAATGTCCAGAAATCAGATGCCTAAGAAACAGCTTCCTTAGGTGGAAGTTCAGCCCTTCATCTCTCATTTCATTTTTAGTTTATGAAATTAACTTTTGTCTACTGTTCTTCAAACTAGTTCTTTGCCAAAGGAAAAAGCCGCCTAACTTTTCTCAGTTTACTAGTCCTCACCCCACCCACCTCCTTTCCTTCCATCCTGTGTTCCGCAGCCTTTCTTTGATTTTTCTTGATTTCACCTTTTATGATTTTGTTTTCATTTCTGACCCTCTCCCCATAACACACAAGACCCTTTAGATGAGTCCTAAATAAATATAGAAATAGACTTAATAAAGCATTAAATGCTTTTTAAAAAGAAAGTTTTGAGGTGTCATCCTCCATAGTTTAAAAAAAAAATGTTTTTGTTGGTGTCATTCTGTCACCTAAGGTATTTATCTTACCTACAAGATCAAATGATCTGAGAAACATAAGACATTTTAGGAGGTGGCTTATTCTAATAATCTGGTCACTACTTTTAAAATAGTGTTTAGCATAAGGAGTAATTTGTGTTGAAAAGGATTTCAAATTCTGTATTAATTATAGAATTACAATAGAATAAATATAACCATATAAGCCTTTATAATGAACCGTACTTAAACTGGAAGAGGTTAAAACCTTTGTCATATCCTTTTATAAAACAAAGAATTGCTTTTAAAAGAAATTATGCCTCCTTTATTTTTATGCATGTCTACATTTATATATTCCAGATTTGTTTAAAATGAGATGCAGGGGCAATCATAGTAATAGTTATAATGGTATTAAGAATTAGGTACTTCGTATTGACTCACCATTGAGCAAAGGTCATTTGCTTTTAAAGACATTTTGTGAAGTTCAGGCTTGATTTTGGAACCAAGGATTTGATATCCTTGCCTGTTTCAAGCATCATGTTGGATCTTTCCTCAAGAAAAAATACTATTACCAAGGGAGTGAGGCTTAGAAATAATTCTTGTATGCATTGTTTTATAGTTGAATTCAGCATGTTCTGCTGTGATCCCCTCCCTTATAAAATGATAGAAAACCGTGTCTTTTATTATAGAAGCAAAATTGAAAACTATTACAAAGACAGTAAAGAATTTCAATAATGCAGCTTTATGTGAATAGAATCTCTTAGAGTAGTAATTATTTGATTTTAAAATTGATTACCAGTTCAACTCAGTGTAGCTTTATCTTTTTTGGAAAGAATAGTTAAGGGGTATAAAAAAGAAGCAGTTCTTTTTTACTGCTATTTGTTTCAGTTTCTCTATAAAACATAAAATTTAGAGCATGAAAGAGTAATATTAATAAATATCATATTAAATTAACTTCTTTTTTGTTTGTTTTAGTGGTCCCAATCGAGGCCATTATATTGCAATAGTTAAGAGTCATGATTTTTGGTTGTTGTTTGATGACGACATTGTAGAAGTAAGTAGTTTCTTAATCTCTTATTTTTGAAAGTTGTATGCATATGTTGCTTTTCACTATTTTCTGATAGTTTCTCATTTAGATATGACTGGTGATGATTATGAGACAAATGTCTGGGTCTATAGATTGTAGTCTGATTCCTACTTCTTACTCTACAGCGTCCAAGCCCAACAGTTAAGTG